TGACCTGATTGAAATATTAGCAAAATTGAAGTTTATTTCTCATTCATCAACATTATATTCCTTACCAACATGTTGCTCTAGATCCAGTTTCCTTTTCTGTCGTTACAACTATTTAGTAGCAAGGTATGAAACAGTCTGCCAGTCATTTTTTTGAGAATTAAACATTTTTCATTATCTAATTGACCGATAATTTTAGTTTTTCCCAGCAAAATTAATGTGTTCCCTCTCCTTTAAACACAGGCCTGGTAGGATAGAGTGCTGTGCTAAATTGCTCTCAGTGAGGGCTTTTGTGGATCAGGCTCCATCTGACCAATACATTTCATACTTTCTCAATAAGCCATTTTAGATCATCTAAATTATTCATAAAAGTAACTTTACAAAAGGCTGCTTAAATTTTTCAATTGCTATTCATCAAAACAATTTAGAAGTAGCATGAGACTCTTTAGATTAGTTGGTCATCAACATTTGAGGGTTCTTAAACTACAAGTAACCCACTCAGACTTCAAACATAATAACCCATCTTGCAAAGGCAGCTTAAATTGAAGTGAAATAAATACAAACATTTTTTAAATGATGCAGTCGCAGGATGTAATATTCTTCACAGCTTTATTGAACTGAATCATATGTTATTAAACCCAAAGGGAAAACTGGTTATTGCAGTTCTTATGAGGAGTCATGTAGGGTTTCTGTTGCTGGCGGAGCTGACCTCCTGTCCTGGAGTAAACAGAGGAGCAGTTAGGTTTCGCTTTTGCATCATCTTTTATTATGTTCGGGCTACATTCTTCTCTTTGGTATCAGAGTCAAGCGACAGAGGAATTTTCTGACAAAGGTTCATCTTGTGTTTGCTGCCTCAGTTTTCAGTGCTTCAATAATCAGCTGTGCTTGTTCCGAACGAGAAGCACAAACCCTGTCAAGCGGGGCAGCGGAGAAAAAGAGAAGAGTGGAAAAGAGGCCATTTTCTGCAGCGGATCAGTAATCATAATAGGGGGTCCAGAAACCTAGATCTACAGTGACTGCAGATTTTAGTGTCCATCAGAAAGCCTGTTGGCTTTTCAGAGTATTGGGTAGAAAATCAAGTTAATTAACTGCAAGTCAGAGTACACACTTTATGAGGACACCTCAAGTCCCTCTGAAATTATTCTTTGTAACAACTTCTCCAGCTTGGACATGTTTAAGTTTGAAGTCAGACTTCATATGGTTGGCTAAAACATACTTTATGGCAATTCTAGTTATACTTTATTACAACACTTTCCATAAGACACCACAAAGTCCTTGCCTGCAACATTTCACAAGGTTTGAACATACATAAAAGGAGATATTTTTTTTCAATCTGGGCTTAAAACACCTGGTACTTCAAGAGTAAGTTCGCAGAACACAGAGAGAAGTGACACAAACAGCATCACAGATCATCTGCCATACTTCTCATTAGGCATAAGACATTTCACACATAACCATCTTTTATAGTGAATTTTCTTCAGTTAAAAACAAATGATGATATCTTACTTTTTTCAATGGGCAAACAAGGCATCTATGAACACCAGTCGCATCAGATAGTGACCTGATGAGTCATAGTCTGACGCACTTGACACAAATTGCTCCATTTCAAGCCAGATGATGAAAATATAAACAAACATTCTGGCTTTTAGCCAAAATGCACCTTTAGATGTTTATATGGAGGGTGTGACCCAAAGATGCCAGCCTTTCCTGCAGTTCTCCAAAAACTGTACTTTAAAGATTTTTACTTTACACTCTCCTCACGGAATGCTGGCTTTATGATCTTGCACAAAGTCATGCTGCGAGATTTTCCATTTCCTGACATAACATTGGAAATGGAAAAATCTTGGAAGCTCTAAATATTTCTCTAGTTATGGGGAAAATGTAAGTTATTGCTAGAATGAGGCAAAGAGCATTTACCTTCCAATAAGTATATTTTACATTGCTGTGAAGCAGTTGTTGCTCACTCCTTTATGCTGGATATTTAATTTAGGTATATTAAAGGAAATCTGAGCCTCACTGGCCTCTTCAAGGCAAAATATATCCCAATTGCATCTTACTTTTACTGGATCCCTTTAAATCTTTTGGTGAGCTTCTGGTCATTGTACTCCCACGATGGTTGACCATCGTTGGGTCTCTTCTCTGTTTGCATATAATGGCTCTCATTGCGTTTTGCTAGAATTTCAAAGCCACAAAAGTAACTTCTTAACTCTTTTGAAACAATTGAATGTCTTTCCTCTTACAAAGAATTTCTTTAGGTTTGCAGTATGATGTGTTGGCTTGTTTTGAATAATCTAGTCACCTTCATGTCGTAACACTGGTTCTATTTCTGTGACACATTGATTCTGCAAATCTGGCAGAATCTAAGTGTCCTTAGATAGAAAACTTTGTATCAATTTGACTGTATGATCTGGTTGAGCTGTAAAGTGCCTTGAGATGACATGTGTTGTGCATTTGGCGCTATATAAATAAACTGAATTGAATTGGCAAAGTAATTATGAATTCTACTGTTAAATTGTAGTTGATTCAGTTTTTAACAAAGGAGACTGTGTCGTGCCATCTGTATCTCAATAGTTTCAGTTATATTAATTAATGTCAGGCCATCAGTTATCAGTTTTGGTCCACATGAGACATCACCTCTGTCTGGATCCGGACCGGGTTCTGCCTATTAGTGACCCCTGGTCTATGGCATTTGTAAGGCCATAGACCAATGTTGGATGAAAAGGCCTGGCTCTCACTCTCCTCTCTAGGTCCTCTGAAAGATGTTCTACCAGGCTGAGGTCAGAACTCAGGAGGCAACTCATATTCATCCAAACTAAATACTCTCAGTCTTGTCTTTCTGAACCTTGCTTTGCACACTGCTGTAAAGTTGCATTGGAAGACGTGGCCATCTCAATATTGTTCCAACAAAGTTAGTAAAATGGACATGTCCAACATCTCTTATAGCTTTCAGAAGTCCTTTTACTGGAGCTTCATGATCAACCTCATCTCATCAAAAATTTTGATAGAGATTATTTCCATCTACACGGTAAACTTTGCAGTGTTAAAGTTACACTTTAAGAGTGCATTTGGTCCCACTCGTGTGTTACATTAGAACTTTAAGTAGTGTACATTTTACTCTAGTTGTTGTTGTAATAACTGTAAAATAGTCAATGTACTTTCACACTCCATCTTTAGTACTGTGGAATTTACTGTGAAACTGTTATGAGTGATTACGCATGTAGGATTTAATTTCCAAGAATGAGGAATTGTTTTGGACAAAGGCGGAATGGCATGCAAGCACTACAGCTGGCCTTGATAAGATCAAAGAATGGTTGTAGCTGAAGTTTAACCAGCCAACCGACTATTAATATGTGTGGGGTGCAGTGAGGGTAAACAACTAATCACTTGGAGCCTGCTCATTTTAATCTGTTGCAAATTTCAATGGAAAAAGGAGGGTTTCTGGAACAGTGGGATGTTTAAAACAAGCTTACTGGCTATAATACATAAGTACAATTTGGAAAAGGAAAAGCGAGTGATATTGTACAATGCATCAGAGATTCTGAGATTCATTTGTTGACAAGACAACTATTTATTTGTGCGAATAAATCTCTGCATGTTGGCATAAGAGAGTAAAAAGAAAGAAAAAGTCCTAATTTCAACCAGAGTTAAAAGATTTCTTCCATTAGAATAAGCCCAGAAAATAACCCCCCAGGCTTTACACTTGGCACAGTTCATTCAGTTAGTTATTCTACTTGTGACAACCGCCAAATCAAGGTTACTCCATCAGATCCATGGATGGAGAAACTCTATTCATCAATCTAGAAAATGTGGCTTCCCTTCTCTACAGCCTTGTCATCGCATGCTATACACCACTGTGTTTGCAATGCACCTGGTCATGTGATGCTTGAGCACAGGTGGTTGGGCATGGAAACTCTCTACACTGTTGAAGTAATCTGAAAGCTACTTGCAGCTAGGTCTGTAGCAATAGACTCTGCAGACAGTTGGTGTCCTCTGAACTCAGTTTACATGGCCCATCACCCCGAGGTTCAGTCACTGTCTTTCCCAATCGTATCCATCGTGTACAATCGTTTGTTATAGTAGGACTGACAGTTGACAGTGGAATATTTGGGAGAAAGTAAACTCACAACTGGACACTTGGCATCCCATCACAGTAATGTGGTGGAATAAATAGGCATGTTCATTCACAAATGTTTATAGCATTGCTTGCTAAACCTGATTCCCATTTTATAACAAACATAAAATCTTAAACAATTGAGCCCTCGACTCTAAAAAGTACATATCTAATATTTTATGAGTTTAAAGCCCATCCAGACTTGAAAAGATCTCAAGTTTTCAATTCATTATAAGTGGCCAAGTAATAGCAACAATTTAACATCTGGATATTTCCTCACACAGCCTTGCTAAGCCAATTTGTGCAAAACCACACATTTATGTTCAGAGAAGGAATTATCCTGATGTGGACAATAAAAATCGTACTTTAATGTTTTGAGAGTGACTGAACAGATTTTTGCATAATCAGCTATGAAAGGCTGTTGAACAAACTGCTAATGATTTAAACACCAGCTTTTTTCCTCTGCAAATTATGCTTTCAGCATTTCATTTTGTCAATGCCTCCATTCCTTCATCCCAATCATTTTGCTAAAGAACTTTATTCTCCAATCTAAACTTCATGCTCTTTGTATTCTAATGACTTAAAGATGCAAGTACTAAAAATGGTCATTTATCAGTAGAAGGATTAAAACTGGTTAGTTTTTACCATCTTCCTGTCTTGATCATAGCTGATCAAGCAAAAAAAAAAGAAAAAAAAGAAAACAGCAACCCACACCTGTCTTTCTTGGCTCACACTGCGACAAAAACATCTGTGGCGATACGGATGACCTCCAAATGCAGCATGAGAAATGACAGTGCTCATGTTTGATGATGCTCTGGTGTCAGGTTACAGACAAACCTGTGGGTGTGCGGATGGAGGAGGCAATGAGGGAGAAGGATAAGACCCAACTCACCATATCGATGGATGACACGGGCCCAATGCTGTTGACGTATATGCCCACATCAATGAGTGTCGGTTTCTCTGCAACAGACAGAGGGAGGGAATATGAGCATCCAGTGCAGAGCCTTGCAAACAGAAAAAAGCCTTTCACTATTCCACATTTAGTAACTTAACAGCTAGAAAGCTGATTGCATCTTATTGACATTTTGTGAAATATATATATTTTTTCCCCAACTTTAATAAAACTAAACATAAAGAGGCCCATGTCCAAAATTTGGTTGACTGCCTACAAAGACAGGCCAGAAGAGGAGAGCATTATTGGGAGGAACAACCAACAGGTCAAAGGTAATTCTGGAAATCTGGAATCTGCTGGCATGGTGACCATCTGATCAGACTTCAATAAAAGCAAACCATCAAGAAATAAAACCAATGCAAAACACCACCATAAAAGAATCTTCTCTAAAAAAGGCAGCTAAAACCATACAGGGGATAAAGTAAATATATGAATAACTGAGCTGTAGTCATAACAAAAGTCAACCTACATGGAAAATCATGGAAGAAATTAAAACTGCAGAGCATAGTAAACATACAACCCCCTATACTGAAACATGGTACAGTAGGAGCAGCATCATGCTGTGGGGATGCTTTTCCACTGCTGGTGGCTAGATAAAGGCAGGACATAAAGGACAATCAAAATGAAACAGGGAAACCATTGCAAACCACTTGAGACTGTGGCAAAATTAAGCTTACTGTATATCAGAACATAAAATACAGTTAAAATTAGGACTGAATGGTTTAGATTGGAGTATTTATGTGCAGCAGATTGGCCCCAGTACAAATCCAGACATAAATATATTATAATTATTTAGACATACAAAGTGAGATTGGGCTGCATTTTTGTTTAATAGAGGGGGATAAAACATGAATATCTTTATGAGGCATTGTGATGTATAGCAGTCCGTCTTTCTGGCCTGAGGCTTTTATGTAACCAAAATACAAAAGCATAAATAATCGAGAATAAAAAAACAAAAAAACACGCTTTTCATCATTCAGTGTCACCTTGGCTAATAAAACCAGTTTATTTCCTTTTGGAGGACGACAAAGGCATCAATCTACCCAGAGAAGAAAGATTTACACTTCAGAAATCAGAGACGTAACACCGATTCCTGAAGCACTTCCAGAGTTGCCATGGCAGGTAATGTCATTTCCATTCGGTTCCTAGGATCATGGATAAATTTAGTCACCAGCATTTGACTTGTTTATTCTGAAGATGAAATTTGATAGGAGCAGTAGGAAACAAGCCGATGTTAGGACAGAAGATGATTTCTGAATGGAGGGACAGCTTCTGTCTTCATGAAAAATTCACCATGATTTATGCATTATTCCAGGCTTTTCTGTTTAACCCATACATACTGGTCTGTCCTCATCTGATTCTGAAACAAAGCAGTCCTATCTTTTATTTAGTATCTAGAGAATGGCATGAGGTGGGTCCTGTAACTCCAGGCCTAATGTTGTTCCATGTATAACATAACCGCCATTCTGGTTCTACAATTGTACCATTTGTTAATGCTGCAAAAGGAGGGGGAAATACAATGATACACTAGCCATATTAATATGTAACCTTAATTAAATTGCAGTTGATACAAAATTATGGATATAATTTGCTCCATTATTGCCTTTCACTACCTGCAAGACTGCATTAGATTTCTTTGACAAATCAAATTCTGCAGCTTGACTGTCCTGACTTGGACAACATACAGATTTCACACTGCAACACTGCTAAAAATGTAAGCATTTCTCAGATTTCAGTTTTAAAGGCACAAAAGTAGTAGTACAGTGACACAAAGTAGTTGAAATTTTAACTTTTTTTTCTTTTTTCGTAGAACTTGCCTTATGACCACTTGGAGGTGTTCAAATTGGTTACTGAAAGTTAAACTTTGTGATTTGACGAGTGTCAGGATAGGAAAAGGAAATAAGGTGAATTTAAGGTGCTCATAGTGAAGTTTACACCCTGCATCCCAACAAACATACTGTGGGGTGGCAAACACAGAAATAATAATTAAAAAAAATTCTGTAATGTAAAAATCGAATCAGTTAATAATCTTTTCAGCACATGCAACATGTATCCTTTACAAACTTAACTGAAAACATTTCTAGGACTGTAAAAAAATTTTACAATTATATGGGAACATGTATTCACACAATATTTTCTAATGTTTGAAGTTGGCTTTCCTTTGAGCCGTGTTCCTTTACAATCATATCAAATATGGTGAATTTATACATGAAAAATGTGACTTTTGTGTCGATCTTAAACTCAAATTGGCATTTATCAGCTTGGGAAACAGTTTGCAAAGGAATAGAAATGGTTAAGAGAAGCATTATAGCCTACAGTACCAATGTTTCAGTCATAAGGAGACAAATATTAACAGAGTTATATACATGTATATCAAATACAGGATGATTTAAAGGACAAATCATGTAGTATAAAGGTCTAGCTGAAGTCGTAAAAGATATGTGAATGATAAAATTCCTCATATCAGAGTTGGAAAACCTTTGTAAGAGGGAAGAATTCAAGATTTAGCATGATAGACCGCAATCAAAGTAAAAAAATCACAACCCATACAGGCATTAAAGCAAGGGTGTAGATACACTTTTGCGAGTCACTGAATAATAGAGTGACATATTTTAAATAATGCACACACTTTATTTGCATGACTTCATATCTGATAAAACGCACTGCTGTTCTTCAAACTTAAACCGACAAAATATTTTTAGAAATTTCAACATTCGTAGCAAGACAAGAAGTTAGCCCTTAGCTAGTTTTCCTTGTAGAGGTAGCATCTTCGCTGGTCTTTTATTTCCTTCTATGATGGACTGACATCTGGCTTTAATGAGGTTGATGGGATTGTGTTTGTCATATGCAAAAATATTAACCAACCTCGCAAACTGATCAGCTTCCCTAAGTCCTTATAAGAAACTAGAAGAGCTTTAAAGAAGTGAGGATTATTGAGTCTGAAACCAAATATTTCCCCCATCAGTAAACAAACAAAAAAAAAAAAAAAATGTATCCTGGAACACAAGCAGTCATTTAGATTCATATTTTGAGAACATAACTGAAAAGAGACGAGCACTGGGCTATCACGATCGTAACCGATTGATTTCCAATCTAACCCTTTATCAGCCAGACACCTGGAATGAAACCGTCTGGGATCAAGCTGTCATGTAATTGTGAGAGTCAGGAAAGGTTTGATAGAAACTTCTGGCCCTGAGGTTTCTTTAACAAATCAATCGGCCCACAGGCTGGCAAATTCGTAAAACTGTCACCAAAAGCTTATCTATTAATTTGAGTCTTGAGGCGCAACTTCCTCTTTTTTTCTATTTACTTGTTTGTAGACATCGTCTCAGACTGCAGTCCTCTTGAGTGTACCCAAGCGTATATGTAGCAGTGCCGTCAGCACAAACAAGATGGCAGATTGCATGTCACAGAATGAGCGAAATGATGTATTAATAACCTGTACTGGTGTCATTTCAGTAGCTCTGTGTCGGTAATAGCCTCGGGATTTTATTATATATATACTTTTTTTAAACAGAGCCCTGTAATATTTGTCTCTGATGTGAGGTTCCAACTAGTGAAGCTGAAATGCATGCACACACCAGCTCACTTCAACCCCAGGGGTCTGTTGGTGGAGGCTTGCTGGGAGTTGTTGGTTCAATTCCAGCTGAATGTTCTGCTCCACTGACTGGACAATGCACCATTAAAATGTGTTGTCTTTCTCTTTAATGAAATGCAAAATGTACAGTTTGAATTCAATGCAAAAAAGAAAACCCTTGTCTAATCTAACAGTTTAAAATCTGCTCTTTCCTTTTTGAGATGACAGATTGAACAAAGTACAGAGATGCCGAAAGCTTTGGAAACTGCTTTAGATATATCTTTGTATCTTTATTCCTGACCCTTAAACTTGTTTGTTGATATAAAAATACTAATATTTAAGGGGCCACAATCTTATTCTGCAACCTGGATGCATTTAAGCATGTGCTTGGAAACCCCCGGAAATGCAGCCACCTCTAAAACACATATGCACTATTGATAGATTTTGGATTGTCTAGGAAACAATTTAGAGAAAATTAGTGGATTATAGAGATTCAGCATCCCTCCTCTGATGCATGTTAACCTGAGAATTATGCAAAATGCATGTGGGAGACTTCTAAACATGAAACATATGGTGCAAAGCTGATCTTATACATCACAAAGCACGTTTACACATATGGAAACTAGGACAACCTTTAGGGAATAAACCTAAATATACTCCACAATAGCTTATGAGTGCAGATGATGACAGTGTTTATCCCCAGAGTATGTTCAGTACGGATTTGGTTGATATTTATTTCTTAAATAGTACAAGAAAGAAACACAGCAGTTCAGAGCTTTCAGATTCCGATTATGGTTTATTTTCTTTCATTTTCAATGTGAGCTTTAGTTGTTGGGTACAAAAAGCAGGTCAGCTCGGCTCAGGCAGATTCATGTTTGATCAAATGTTGGTAATTACAAGAGCCCGCTTTGCTCTCAGAGATATCTGAATAGTCTTCAAAAGAAATGCATCTCTTTCCTATATGTGCAGACAATAAAACATCCACCTAAACATCTTCCTATTAACCTCAATTTTACACTCTTAATGGAAAAACGGTGATTCACAGAGGGCATTGCATTTCTTTGTCTTCCTCTGTGTGTTCCAGTCCTCCTCACAGTCTTTTTCCAGAAAAGCTTGACAGCTCCCATCTGTATTATCGAATTACTTCGTGGAGCTCTATTAAGAAGAAAGGGCCCTACATGCCTGCTTGGCCTGGCTGGCATGACGAATGCATTACGCATTGTCAAGCCCAGCTAACCCTCATGTGTACATGCAGATGCACATGTCCCAGCTGAGCCTTCAGCTCCCATATGTTCTATTTCCAGGATCTGTGCCGGGAATACGAGGGTCTCCGTGGGCCGTCTGATCCACCTCCAAGAGGAAGGCCTTCTGTGTTTAGAGACTGTTTAAAAGCAGATCTGCCGGAGAAGGAGAATAATTTATTTCTCAGCA